CTAGGCTTCCTGGCCTAGATGCTCCTCCACATGGCTGGTTCCTGGTACTTGGTATGAACCCCTTATTTACCTCTCTCCCCTAAATAAGCTCTCACTCTGCTATGCATCTTTCTCACTAAATAAAAGCTTAAAACGTACCATGCTGCCTCATTTATCTGTGCCGGTATTTAGAATTCTTCTCTAAATATTAGACAAGAACCCTCTTGGGCTTATTAATATTGGGGATTTAGTAATAACCCCGTGGTAAAATCGTAAGGCACCCCAAATTCCGGTAGCACATGTGGCACCCCGGATAGCATTTCTATGGAACTTTAAGGGGCCACATTTCAGGGTAAATTTTAGGGGGTCTTGTCCGATTTCACTGGTACACAAGACCCAATCTGAGGAAAACTGGAACGGAGACCTTGAGCCCAGAGGCAAGGCAGACAGCCAGGTTCTACCCATGTCCTTGCCAGGCCTTTTTTTCTTTTTTGAGATTTATTTTGAGAATCAGAGTTAGAGATTGAGAGAGAGAGAGAGAGAGAGAGAGAGAGAGATCTTTCATCCACTGGTTCTCTCCCCAGAAGGCCACAATGGCCATTGCAAGACCAGGCCAAAGCCAGGAGCTTCATCTGGGTCTCCCATGTAGGTAGCAGGGGCTCAAACACTTGGGGCACCTTCTGCCTTTCCCAGACCATTAGCAGGGAGCTGGATCTGAAGTGGAACAGCCAGGACTCAAACCGGCACCCATATGGGATCCTGGCATCACAGGAGGTGCCCCTAGCTGCTGTGCCACAACACCTGCCCCATGGGTGAGGAGTTTTGGTTATCAGTGCTGGCCCCTGACTACAGGGTCTCCAGCCCTTAGAGAAATATCCCACTATCAGAGCTGAATGAGCCCATGCAATGGGTCCATGCCTTAGGCTTCCCTGCAGGAAGAGGGCTCCTGGATCTTCCAGTCAAGCATTTTGCTCACTAAGTGGTTCACTTTGTGTTGCAGATAGACCTTAGGACCTGGCTTACTCAGCAGTCTCCTGTGAAATTTGGTTGCTGTAGGCAGTCTGATCAACACTGCCTGTCTCTAAGGATCCTGGCAACTCCTGAAACTGGATCCCTAAGGTTAAGAGCCACATCCTGCATCAAGCCTGGGTTTGTATTGCAATTCTCCAGGATGGTTGAGTACTGGAGACCACAGCAACATCAGTGGTTTTGGAAGGGTTTGTCCCTGAAGAGTTCATTTTTTTAAAAAGATTTTATTTATTTATTTGAGAGGTAGAGTTAGAGGGAGCGAGAGAGAGAGAGAGAGGTCTTCCATCCGTTGGTTCACTCCCCAAATGGCTGCAACGGCTGGAGCTGTGCCGATCCAAAGCCAGGAGCCAGGAGCTTCCTCTGGGTCTCCCATGTGGGTGCAGGGGCCCAAGCACTTGGGCCATCCTCCACTGCCCTCCCGGGCCACAGCAGAGAGCTGGATTGGAAGTGGAGCAGCTGGGACTAGAACCGGCAGCCATATGGGATGCTTTTGCCGCAGGTGGAGGATTAACCAACTGTGCCACAGTGCTGGCTCAATGTGTTTTGAACTTGGTATGCAGTGTGGCTATGCTAAGAGGTAGGTGGGAGGTCCTGAGTTTGGCGGCTGCCCTCAGAAGGGTTAAGGTGGTTCTTGCGGGACCTTGAGTCAGTTCTCACAAGAGCAAGTTGTAAGGATGAGCCCAATGCCCACACTGCCTCTTGGCTTCTGATCTGGCAATGCTATTTTTTGCTCTTGTGGGTGCTCCCACCAGTTTGCCATCAGCCATTAGGCCCTCACCATAGAACATACCAGTGGGGGCGGGGGGGAGGCCGGCACTGTGGTGTAGCTGATAAAGTCGCAGTCTGTAGTGCCAGCATCCCATATGGGCGCTGGTTCAAGCCCTGGCTGCTCCACTTCTGATCCAGCTCTCTGCTATGGCCTGGGAAAGAAGATGGACCAAGTTCTTAGGCCCCTGCACCCATGTGGGAAACCCAGAAGAAGCTCCAGGCTCCTGGCTTTGGATCAGTTCAGCTCTAGCCTTTGTGGCCAATTGGGGAGTGAACCAGCGGATGGAAGACCTCTCTCTCTGCCTCTCCTTCTCTCTCTGTGTAACTCTGACTTTCAAAATAAATAAATAAATAAATCTTTAAAAAAAAAAAACACACCAGTGGGTCCACCTGACCTTGGACTTCCAGCCTCCTATACTGCGAGCAACCTGAACTTCTTTCCTTACAGCTAGTCTGCCTCAATTATTTCATCATAGTAGTGAAAATGGACTGATACAGTGGCTACCACCTGGCTATTCATCTTGGTTATTCACCCACCCAATGCATTGCTTGAGCATCAACTTAAAATTTGATTGTGCATGACGGAAGCCCAACTCAAACTGCCTTAAGCAAAATTTAATTATTTGGGTCACACTTGGGATAGGTTAGGACCTGAGACTGACTCCATGTCACCACAGCTGTCTCTCTTCAACAGTCTCTGTCCACTCCATGTGATAGGGACAATGGTGCTGGCTGCCACTAATTCACACACAATGCAAGAACTCTCTTCCAGTATCCCCTCATCAATCGCTGACTGGTCCTGCAAGATTCTCTTGACAGAAGGAACAGGGAAAAGCCTGCCAAGTGGCAAAACCTCAAAAGCACCCCAGGTGATGGTGTGCGGGCCCAAAGAGGAATGGAGCAGCTCACAGCCTGGCAGGGGCAGTGGTAAACAAATGGCAGCCACACTGTTTGGGAAGTGCTGCCACCATGGATGTGGGCAGCGAGCCTGCAGGAGAGATGCCAGGGAAGGTCTGTGTCCCTTCTCCTGGCCGTCCCCACCGGCTGTGAAGAATCAGTTCCCACTCTCGGTACTTCTGATTCACGAGGGACTGACCTCACGGTTGGCTGCGGGAGGAGAAACAGGGTGCATTCCAGGCCAGTCCTGCCTGGGGCCTTCCGCTGGGACTTTTAGGAAAAAATGACTCCCTTGATCCACATGCAGAAGCAGGCAGAAGCTAAACACACAGGTGCAGGTGGCCATTTCTCCCACTGTGTGAGGAGGCCAGCTGGGAGAACAGAGTGAGATTGATTTTTTTTCAAGATTTATTTATTTATTTGAAAGGCAGAGTTACAGAGAGGCAGAGGTAGAGAGAGAGAGAGGTCTTCCATCCGCTAGTTCACTCCCCCAATTGGCCGCAACGGTCGGAGCTGCACTGATCTGAAGCCAGGAGTCAGGAGCAGGAGCTTCTTCCAGATCTCCCATGTGGGTGCAGGGGCCCAAGGACTTGGGCCATCTCCTACATTTTTTCCCAGGCCATAGCAGAGAGCTGGATCAGAAGTGGAGCAGCTGAGAATTGAACCAGTGCCCATATGGGATGCTGGCACTGCAGGCGGCAGCTTTACCTGCTTCGCCACAGTGCCAGCCCAGAGATTGATCCTCTTATGGTGCCTGCAAGATTTAGTTATGTAACACCTGAATGAAGAAATAACCTCTTTTTTGCATAAGCCAATTTGAGTGACACTGCAACTGGATCTGAAAGGATGAACAGACATTTTACGGAGTTCTCCCCAGCTATGCAAAGAACATAATGTGCACAGGTTGGGTTGATACAGTTTCCACCCTCCACCCCATGGGGGCTAGTCCAGAGTTGACTCCAAACAAGTCTGTGGCATGGCTACTTCTGTGCTACCATGTATTTTGTGATGCAACCATTCTTGCCGTCCACCACACATACTGTGCCAATCATGAGTAAATAGCCCACTGTGGGCTGAGTAATTACAGAAAAGCACCCCTTTCTGCAGGCCAGAGCACTGGCTGCCGGGGCACAAGCACACGTGCCTGCCCTGCTGTCCCCTCAGCCTGGTACACAACTCCAGCAGCCTAGGGGCTGGTGGCCATGCTGGGCTGCTTGTTTTTACTGATCCCTACCTGTGTTGGGCTTACTGCCAGTGCCCTGCCCTGTCCCGTGTCCCGACCCTACCATTCCAGGCTGTCACTGCTTATGTCTTGGCAAAGGGCAGGCAATGCCCATCTCAAGGCAATTCTGGGGAGGAGCAAGTGTGGTTGCCTTTTAGGCCTATGCTTGTCCTGCCAAGTCTGTACCCAAGCAACAGCCCCTCTCCTTCCACACCCCCTGGAGCTGGAGGCAGTGGGTGAGTGAGGATCTCACCTGTTAGCTCTTGGAAGCCATCTCACGCTCATCTCTCAGGGTTGACTTTCCAGGCAAGATCCTGTCCTGTTGTGTCATTTAGGTGGATGGGCTTCAGTTCCTTTGTACCATACACCTCTGACTTTCCAGCTGTCTTGCCCCTATCAGTAGTTCGGGCAGGGTGAGGTCTGAGTCACCCCTGTGTCCTTTTCTCTGTTCACCAAACACCACGGCCTGCCCTGAATAGAACCTCTTGGTCTTTGAATGCAATTATGGGTGGTTTCACAGGCGAGGCCAATGCCACCAAAACCATCCATTAACTTGCAGGACTGAAACGGCCCACGTGCGTATTTTTTTCTGCATAACTGGACCAGGCAGAATTACAGGGCTGCTCAGGACCACCCGAAGTATTGCCTTTAGGCAGATTAAGATACTGGTTTAAGGTCAAAAGTCCCAAGCCTGTCTGTGTTCCCACGTGTTGACAGGCTAAGGCTTAAGGCAAAGGAGGAGACTCAAGGAAGAAGAGGGAAAAGATGAGATAAAGGAGAACCACCTGAGGCGAAAAGAGCAAGAAGGAAAAAGGAAGAGGCTTAACAACAGCAGAAAACAGAGAGGCGGGTCAGGGACTCAGAGCTCAGAGGGAAGAGAGGGCGGGAGGGCGGGCGGGCGGGGTGGAGAGCGCCGGGCCGGCTCACTGCGCTCCTGCGCGGGGGGGGGTAAGGGGGCGGGGCCTGGGTACCCTCCCGGGGGAGGCCGATGGTATCTCCCGCCGGCGTCGGCCAATGGGCAGCCGGGATGTTAGAGCGGCGGCGGCGGCCGGGCTGGGGGACGGCGGCCGCCGCCATGATGCTTGTTTGCTTTCAATGAAAACGAGGGGGGCGCGGAAGAGGAGGCGGCGGCGTCGGTGGCGGCGGCGTCGGCGGCGCGGGAGCGAAGGCGGCGGCGGGCGCAGCGCGGAGGGCGAGGCCGGGAGCCGAGAGAGCAGGAAGGTGTAGCGGCGGCCCATCGGGGCGTCTGAGGCCGGCGGCTGGAGCGGCAGCGCTCGGAGGGGAACAAAAGAGCGGCGGCTGAGGCGGCAGACGAGCGGCGGCGGCGGCGGCGGCGGCGCTGCAGCAGCGGGCGGGACTGGTATGGTGGTTCCACAGGTCAGACCCCGCTGCACTCACAGGGAGGAGGCGGCGGCAGCGGCGGAGGAGGGCGGCGCCCCTCGAGAGGTGAGCGAGGCGGGCCCGCGGGCCGGCCGCGCTCGGAGCCCGCTCGGTCGTGCCCGGGCTGGAGTTCCGCGGGCGCCGGGCCCGCTGCCTCGGGCAGGCGGGCGGCTGTGGCGGCCCGCGATCCCGCCCCCCCCCCCCCCCCCCCCGAGCGCTGGCTGGGGGCGCTGCTGGACGGCGGCGGCGCGCAGGGGGGCGGGCCCGGCCCCGCCGAGCCGAGGAGCAGTCCCGGGCCCGGAGTGCCGAGGCGCAAGTGGCGCGCCGTGGAGCGTGGAACGTCGCAGTTACTGCCGAGCGGGAAGCCGACTGTTACCCCTCCCCCCGAATTGTTTAACATTGTCTGACGCCGACTTTCTTTTGGGGAGGGGGTGTTGCGAGGGTAGAGCTCACCTAGCACCGGGTGAAGAGATCTGTTTTACCGTGTTGCTACGACTCGCCTGTGGGCAGTCCCGTCGCTGCGAGCAGTTTTCTCCGGTAGCCCCAGGCACATCTCTTTTTTTATTTTTCAACACCCGGCGTTATTTTCGTTGGAAACTTTTTCCCCATCGACTCTTTTCCTCCTCTGCCTTGCATCCAGCACCTGTAACCTTATTTTATTTAACTTACTGCAGATGACAACAGTGTGACTGGTCATCTTGCTCGGCCACCTCGGATTTGTTGATGTGTTCAACTGACACAGTTTATAGAATGCTTGGATTTGAGTTCTTGTACTTAAAACCTGTTTTCTAGGTACATTGTCTCATCGCTGGCTGCTTGAGCGCCTTGCCTGCTTGTGTCTGGGGCTTTAACTTTACAGTGGGTATGAATAAGGGAAAAATAAACTGGTGTGTAGTAGCGCTTCGTATTTTTCACAATACAGTAGACTTTAACATTGCTCTAAAATAGTTCTGAAGGCTGTAGGAGCTGATGTGGCCTGTGAGAAATCGGCTTTTTTTTTAATTGCAGTGAAGACAGTCACCATAGTCTTTAGAATGTGATGAAGTCTTAAAGACTGCTTAGTATCTTTAGACCAGTGATCTAGTCCAGTCTTCTTGCCTCAAATGAACTATTTGAACAGCTGCTGATGAGGAAAGTGAAGTGCTCAGTGGTCAAAGCCACTTGCCCGAGATACTGCAATCAGAAGGGAAAGGACCAGGTTTTGTGTGCATGAGCATGTGATGTGATTGGGTGATGTCACTGCCTGACATTCTTTGGGGAGAGCAGGGGCTGTTTGGTTGAAGTTACTTAAGGTTGTTTACTCTGATCAGTTCTCAATAAGTGACCAAGATGTTTAAAGACATGCTAAAAAGAGTTTGTGACTTAAGACATATATTTTCTTTTGAGACTTCACATTCTCTGTGAAATCTATCCTTGGCATAATTTTAAGTGTATTCATCAGTGGTGATGTGGTTGAAGAAGCTGGGTTTGAATGCCTGTTCAATTGGAAGGTATTTTCACTCTTTTTTTTTTTTTTTTTTAACCTGTTGGCAAAGTCACACTACAATTACTGGGAAACTTCAGATTGTTTTCTTTTGAACAGACAAGGCTGTGGTTTGTAAGAACTTGGGCTGCAAATAAAAGTGTTACAAGAATTTGCCCACTAGTAGTATATAAATATACATTTTGGTTGATACCCAGATATTCATTCCACTGTACACATATTAACCTTCTTATAGTCTTTTCATATCAGTGGTGCAACAGGAAAGAATATTATTATCTAAGGCCTACTGGAATAAATGTTGAGGGCTGCTTATAGCAGGAACCTTGGGGCTGTGAGGGGTGAGAGTTCAATATCTTTTTTTTTTTTTTTTTTAAATTTATTTGACAGATAGAGTTAGAGAGAGAGAGAGAGAGAGACAGAGAGAAAGGTCTTTCTTCTGTTGGTTCACCCCCCAGATGGCTGCTACAGCCGACGCTGCGCCGATCCGAAGCCATGAGCCAGGTGCTTCCTCCTGGTCTCCCATCCGGGTGCAGGGCCAAGCACTTGGGCCATCCTCCACTGCCTTCCCAGGTCACAGCAGAGAGCTGGACTGGAAGAGGAGCAACTGGGACTAGAACCCGGGGCCCATATGGTATGCCGGCACTGCAGGTGGAGGATTAACCAAGTGAGCCACGCCGCTGGCCCTATCAATATCTTAAGCACTTTGTTTTTTTTTTTAAAGATACTTTTTTTTTTTTTTTTTTTTTTTTATTTGAAAGGCAGAGAGGGGGAGAGACAGCAAATCTTCTATTTGCTGGTTCCCTTCACAAATGGCTGCAATGACCGGGGCTGGGCTGGGCCAGGCTGAAGCCAGGAGCCTGGAAATCTGTCTGGGTCTCACTTGTGGGTGGTAGGGGCCCAAGCACTTGGGCTGTCTTGCTGCTTTCCCAGGTGCATTAGCCAGAGGTAGATTGGAAGTGGAACAGTGAGGACTCGAACCAGTGGTTGTATGGGATGCAGATGGCGGCTTCACCCACTGCATCACCACATCAGCCCCTTTACAGCACTTTTGTAACCCATTTCCATGTGCTAGGTTAACTGTTGGAGAGAAACACTGCTTTTAAAGCATTTATCACTTTGGAAAAGTTCAGGTAGGTTTAGATAGGAGCATGTATTTTACTGGAGAAAAGATTTTGATTCGTGTATATGCAGAACTGTTTGCACTTTTGTTGTGATTGGAAATTAGTACATTATCTAGAGGAGTTTTCATTTTAATTTTAAAATTCCCTAACTTCTGGCAGGCGCTGCGGCTCACTAGGCTAATCCTCCGCCTTGCGGCGCCGGCACACCGGGTTCTAGTCCCGGTCGGGGCACCGGATTCTGTCCCAGTTGCCCCTCTTCCAGGCCAGCTCTCTGCTGTGGCCAGGGAGTGCAGTGGAGAATGGCCCAAGTGCTTGGGCCCTGCACCCCTTGGAAGACCAGGATAAGTACCTGGCTCCTGCCATCGGATCAGCGCGGTGCGCCGGCTGCGTTGGTGGCCATTGGAGGGTGAACCAACGGCAAAGGAAGACCTTTCTCTTTGTCTCTCTCTCTCACTATCCACTCTGCCTGTCAAAAAAAAAAAAAAAATTGCTAACTTCTACAAAATGATGTACCCACTAATCACTTTAGGAAGGAGCCATTTTACAGTGAAGTGCAGTTAATAAACTCTATCACACTGTAAACATACTGTACACCCAGCCTGTGTATCAGAGTTCAATGGATTGTGCTATATTTTGATATTTGAACAAGAGGAGAAGGAGGGTTATATCTGTGCAAATGGGGACTCATTTAGGCTGCTTTAGCTGTATCCTTCTCCTGGCTTTTCTTCTCCCTCATTTATTTATATTTTTGTAGTAAGTAACATGGCAAGAAGTAGTACTTGTTGGCCACAGTGATGGACACTGCACATTCAAACACATAATACTCAGTCTCTGCCTTCTTAGAGTGTGTAGACTTAGAAGGTGCACCAGATGCTGTGAGAGAACAGAAGAGAGAAGGATTAAATTTGAGGAGGGAATGGGAGCAGTTTACAGAGAATAACATTGAACAAGAGTTCAGCAGACTAAAGAGATGGGGGTCATTTCTTAATAGAAGGAACAGTGGGAACACTCAGGTGTCCAGTGTTGGGGTAAGGCTAGTGATAAGGTGTTATGGAGCAGTGGGAGTGACTTCAGATGCCTGCAAAGGTGTGTTCCACCCTGGATTTTGAAGGACCATGTTTGTCAAGCTAAAGTGAAGTTTATACCTTTATTCTATCGCCAAGGGGAGAGACAAAATATTTTTAGCAAGGGGGCAAGGTGATTGAGAGTTTATTTTGAGGTCTGTGTTGTGAATAGAGTGGAGGTCCTACAAGTAAAACTCAAGTCACATTTGAGATAGTATAGAGTTAATGATGGAGTCCATTTCCAACTTGGGTGTTGGTGTCTCTTGTATCTGTAGTCCCTTTTGTGGTGGGCTTGAGGGCCCTGCCCAGTTGCTCTCTAGTATAGGGTCATTTAAATTATTTTGTTTAAAGATTTATTTTTTTATTTGAAAGTCAGAGCCACACAGAGAGGAGAGAGAGAGAGAGAGAGAGGGGTCTTCCATCACTGGTTCACTCCCCAAATAGCCGCTAATCCGAAGCCAGGAACCAGGAGCTTCCTCAGGGTCTCCCATGCGGGCGTGGGGGCCCAAGCACTTGGACCATCTTCCACTGCTTTCCCAGGCCACAGCAGAGAACTGGATCGGAAGTGGAGCAGCTGGGACTCGAACCAGCGCCCATATGGGATGACGGCACTGCAGGCTGGGGCTTTAACCAGCTGTGCCACAATGCTGGTCCTCAGAATCCTTTTAAGTGACATGATGGTAGACTTAGGCAGACTGTGGAGTTCAAGCTGGAAAAATCAACCTTGCACTCACAAGTCACAGCTTAAAGATACACATGATGAGGGTCTGTTAGGGTATGGGCTATAAAGATTTTTTGGAATTTGAGAAGGCAGAATTTCCTGACCTATAGATTATTGGAATTGGAATATTGAGACTTTCTTTAACCTAAGAACTCCTCATACAGCTGTTAATTTATGCAGTTTTGTTGTAAAGTCACATATGTTCTGAAAAATCACCAACCTAATGTAGAATTGTGTAGTGGAAACTACGAGTCTTAAACTATTATGTCAAATATGGTACTTTACCTTGAAAAGGACTTAGCTGCTTGTGAAAATGGACATTGAGAGGGTTGCTGTTCTGGAGTTTTTGTGAAGCAGGAAGAGTTACCCAAAGTCAGATGGGTAATTGTGAGTGGATACAGCTCGTAACACATAGTGAACTTACTCAGCTGGTAGAATTTGAGTGTGGTGTTTGTGTGTGTGTATTGTATATTCTTCACAGCTCAGTTCAGTTGGGTGTGATTTTCTACCCTCAGTGTGTGTGCTTGCAGACAAAATAGCACCTAAAAATTTGTTACACCCAGATTGTTCCCTAATACGTTAGTCATATTGGAAAAATTAATATTTTTAAAACAAGTATTGTAGCAGAATTGGTTATAATTGAATATAGCTTTTTAAAATAGTGCTATAAATCAGTT